TTGCTCGAAAGTTTTCCTAGCCTGATGACGAAGGACGCTCGTTCGCCGTAATCTTGGTTCGTTCGCCGCGCAAAAGTGAAACGACTCTAAAGAGGCTTATTTATCGCACGGTGGACGCGGTCGACGCGATCCAGCTCGGCTCTCGACGCGACTCGGATGGAAGGCGTTTAACCTTTCCGCCGAGAGCATCGTGCGCCAAACCGCTCCGCAGTCCCCCTCCCCCGATGAGATTCGAAGAGAGCTCGCGAACCGTTGCTAAACAACGCGTCCGATGTAACTAAACGAAAACAGCCTTAGAGAATTAGAAGAATTTCATTCGGCAGAGAAAACAACAAATTGGCCGCCGTTTGGAATCGGACGACGTCGCAGACGATTGCCCGCGCGCGGCTCGCAAAAACATGCACGCGATCGAATAACGCTCGAAACAATGGACGATAAACGTCTCTCTGTACGGCCGGCCGGTGCTCGTTCCCGGTGCTCGATCGCCCATCAAAACAAGCGAATCCGTTCGGCTCGCTCTGGGTCCCGTCGAAGAATATCCCGTCGCAGGATATCCCGTATTCCTGCCAGCGACCGGCGTAGTCCTGTTCCTCGTTTCCTCCTTGATCGATCGTCGTCGACGTCGACGTCGTCGTTCCGGCGAACAACGAATTCGGCCCGCGTCGAGGACGCGCCTTCTTCCCCCGTGACGACGCCTATGCGTTTTGGACGATCCGATGAGTCAGAAACCGTCGTCTCGAGCTCTTCTCCCGGCCGAACATTCTCCGGATACTTTCGAACACGAAACGAAATGCTGCTACATGTTTATTCTGCTGCTCGTTCCAAAAACTCCGAGAACGCTGAAACGTAATACATAATGTTAGACGGCAATTATGGAACGGTGTGGCTCGGGCGACGGAAAAGAAGGAAAAGATGAGAAGGAACGACGACGCGAAACGAACGACGACGGTCGTCGGATCATGGTCGTCGAAACGGTATACATATTTCGCGTGGCAGGCATGGAAGCGGCGATCGCGTTGTCCGGATCGCGTAACAACCTCGTTCGAGTAAACGTTCCCGAGTAAATTGTCGTTTACCGCGAACACAAATGTACGAGAATACACGTTAATACGATTGGAATGCCACTGAAATTAAAGCTACCTTTCACGGGAACGTAATGACTCTTTATAAACTGCGACGTAATCCTGGCGCGGAGCGGCGAGGAGCGGCGCGGTGCGGAGCGGAGCGGCGAAGAGAGGAGAAGCGAGGAGAAGAGGAGCGGAGAAGAGAGGAGAGGTGCGCGGTGCGGCGCGCCTCGCGCCCCCCACCCCTCCGGAGCCTAGCTGTTCACCGCCACCGCTGCCGTGGCCTACTTTCTTAGAATATTCGAGTATCCGAGCGTCGATAGATAATAATACTGCGTTAAACGCCGCGTAGAAACGAGCCGAGTTTTCCTTCCTTGCTCGCGCGCGCACCGTTTTGTCGTCCTTTTCGACGCTCTTGTCTCCGAAATTGCACAATCAAAACGGAGAATTAGAAAATCCGAACGCTCTATTGCGAACCGACGCTTTCACGGTGGAAGAACACCACCGAACGTTGGCCAAGAACCGCGTGATGGACGGCCAGAGGACTCCGTCAATGGTGCTATTGATAGTAACCCAACCATAAAATATTTCAAATGACGGATCGATACGTCTTAGGATTTTTACGACAGGGTCTTCGCTCCGGCTGGAATATTTTCAACGAGAATGTTAAAAGTTACGGACGCGGACAACCCTGACCTTCTCGTATAATTGCTTGAAAGGCCCTTTTGCAGTTCTCGATTGTATTGGATACGGTTTTATGGTACGTCGGGTTTTATTTCTTTAGTGCCGGTCGAAACAGTTTTATTTGAATGGCGAAATACTAAAAGTATACAAAAAAAGTCATATATATATTTATTTATATATTTATAAAGTTATATTAACACTATGCCGTCCACAGATCTTAGGTATGATTCTTTCGTTTGACGCCGGCATAATAGCTTGGAAATGTTAGATTTAAAAAAGAATTTCGAAGATGACGGTAATATAAATTCCTGAAATTAAGATATAAGTCGTCCAAGAATCTTCGTACTTAATTCTAGTTATTAGTTTGCTGCCTTTCAACACCCAAGAAATATAGTTAAAAAGAAAGTCATATATATATTTATTTATTTGTAAAGTTATATTAACACTATGCCGTCCGCAGATCTTAGATATGATTCTTTCGTTTGACGCCGGCATAATAGCTTGGAAATGTTAGATTTAAAAAAAGTTTTCGATTATGGCGGTAATATAAATTTCTGAAATTAAGATAAGTCGTCCAAGAATCTTCGTGCTTAATTCTTAGTTAAATAAGCACGATGCTATGGTTAGTTTGCTGCCTTTCAACACCCAAGAAATATAGTTAAAATGTTATTACAGTTTTTCAAAATGGTGCCACCGGACGGCATAGCGTTAATAACTGAGCAAGTTTTGAGAACGAACAATATATAAATTTTGAAAGGAATCAAAATCACAGAACCCTGAAAATATTAAGAAATTATATTTAATATCAAATAATATTTAATATTAATATAAATAATATTTAAATTACAGAACCCTGAAAATATTAAGAAATTATATTTTCGCTAGTTTTAGAACTATTTAAAAAAATGAACACTTCTCAAGTATAACCTATATACAATGTATATACATATGCATACGTACATAGTGCATCGTTGATCCGTAAAATGTCTCAGCGTCGAAGACATCGGGCAAAACAAATGGCGGTGGCTGAAAGAAGGACATTGTTCCTGTAGGATCTGGCCAAGGAGGAGGGTGTTCTCTCTGGGTAAGTGGACCGTGTCAGGCCGCTCGCCCGAGAGCCTCGAGGGAGGGTCTCGTTCTTTTGAGTCCGTTAATTCTATAATTACAGAGACTTGTTTCCGATTCGGCATGTTATACGCCGGGACGACTCGCGGATCGAGTCGCGAATCGAGCTCTCGGCTCTGTTTCCCCTGTCGGTTGCGCCACCGGCCTCTTTGAATTGCTGCCCCTTCACCCTGCGCCCCCGTAGCCCCTTAGAGCCTAGGCCGGCGTACCATACCATCCAGTTGCTCCCCTCCTAGGAGCCGGTCTTCCCCTTTCTTTTTCAGCGTCGCGTCCACGATGTACGATGCACGCGGAGCACACGAATGCACGAATCACGGAGTCGTTATATGGGCCACGAAACACGGACGCCATTGCGTCCCGACAGATTTGTAGAACATCCCGACCGACGAAACTATCGTCGCCCGGACTATCGTTTTTTTTTTCGGTCATGTCCATAACCACGAGAGCTCTCGCGAGACATCGCCAGCTGGAAATTTCCTAGGTCCTCGATCCGCGCGCGCATTGAGGATCGCTGCGATTGAGGATCACTGGCGATAGTCCGTTGCGAAACTATTTTATTTTCTCGATCGAAAACAGAGTCTGTGTTCTTTGCAACCTTTCCCGATGGTTTCCGTTACGAAGGAGATATCCGCTCCGTCGTGTGACGCATTTCAGGACCCCACGGCGGATCGTGGGGATTGCTTGAAATTCCGATCAGAAAATTTCGGAGACGAAACTGCCCGGCCCGGCGCGCATGTTATACATGTGTAATCATTTTGTAGTACCGTATAACCCCGGATAGCATGCCTTCGGGGACTCGCCCTGGCGGCGGACACTTAACCCCTTATAACCCTAATTTCTAGCGTGGATAGAAAGCGAATGTCTGTTACACGCAGCAAGGGAAAACTGATCTTCGAATGTAGATGAATAAATGAATTTTAGGATTGCGAAAAAATTCGAGATGTATTCCGAGAAGTAAACATTGACAATTACATAACCTTTCTTGACTACGTGGGAGAGAGAGAGAGACAATAAGATCAGGTTAGAAATAAGAAATACAGCGAGCGCGCATTAAAGAGATTTAAAATGACAGAATGAAATATTAGATTACACACTGAGGCACGATATACGTTCACAGAACTGACTTTTCATTGCGCCAAACGTATTAAACACGTAATGCTATCTCTTGCTAAACTACCGTAGTTATTGCTTGGAACTAGCACTTTTTTTTTTGTTACGCCAAGTGAAACATCGCGCTCCTTTCTACCCGCATACGCTCAGCGAGTGAAAATTGCCATATTTTATATTTCAGATAAAGTTGTTTAATCCCTTGCCGTGTAACGAGTCTCGCACCCGTGATAGAAATTTCAAATATAACCTACTAAGTACGTATGTTACTCCCTTCTTTCGTCGCTTCGACTGCCGCGTCACTCGGATGACGCAATTATTTACTCGGATCACGAAATTAATATTTCCTTCTCGATCCGATCGGGTTCCGCGAGATACAAGAAAGTTGAAACGAAAATGTATTCATTTTTCATGCAGCGAACGAGACGCTCTCGTTCGAAATACGACGGTTACGAGTGAAAAACACAATTGGCGAAATTGAATATGGATTAAAACCGCGGGGGGGGGGGATCTTTCGCGCGGCCATCGAGAAGCGCGCGACGGTTAATGAAATCGGATAGATAACAAAGAATGTGTAAAAAGCGGAGCTACCTCCTTATTGCTTGGAAAGCCTTCATTTGTTGGACAGTGGTATCGTTGGTTTAGGGATGGTAGGGGGTCGGTCGGTTGTTCGTTCGGTTCTGCTCGGTCTGTGCTCGGGTCTCTTGGTTCTGCGTGTTTCGCGTCGACTCCCCTGTCGCGGGACACGGCTACCCCCACTACCCGCGCGTGCCACGAACCAAAGGTTCTTGAATCATTCCCGCGCCGGCCGCCGCGAGGAGCGCGCGTCGTTTTGCCACGCTGTCACCGGTTACGCCACGAGTCGAGCCCGACTCCGACTCGAATCGAATCGAGCCGAGCCGAGCCGAACGGTTGTGTACGTTGCGCAGCAATTCGAAACTCGATCACGCGCTGTCGTTCGGTCTGGTGCTCTTGTGTCTCGTTCTGTCTCTCGCGCGTGGTGTTTACACGCGGTAATCTGCGTTACGCCATCGCTTAAACATCCACAGTCCGCGTCCCGAGTACGCGGCCGAGGAGGAATCGTTCGCCGTGCCGAGTCCGTGCGTGCACCGAGGAATATCCCCCGGATTTGTTCTCGCAGTGAAACGAAACGAAACGGAACGATACACCGAACGGATCTAGTGAAACCGAGGGAGAGTTTTGGTGATCGGCAGGCTTACGACAGTGTGGTTCGAGCGTGTACCTGTGGGGTTGCACGTGCACTCGAGAGTCGATAACCTGGATTTCGTTGCGTCGCATGCTACCCGATAACCCGACTGCACGGTAAGTCGAACGAAAGAAACGACGCTTACTTCTCGGATCGCTCGGTATCGCGTTCTCTCTCCTCTCGTAACCGTGAACCAGGCTTCGTATTATAACCCGTCGATCGAATCGAATCGATTCGAATACACGTACGTCGTCGTCGTGCCCGTGCTGTGTCGCCACGATATCGCGATAGGTTACCATTCGACGCTCGTAATTTCTCTCGAGATCTGCACACGACGTAAAACGCGTGGCGTCGAGCGCCACCTCTCGAACGCTCCGCGAAGCCTGCGGAGTCGAGCCGCGCCACGCCATGACATTTTTCAAAGCGGAACACATTCTCTCCCTTTTACTTTTTCGCTTCCCATCTGCTCGGATCGCGGCGCGTTTCGGCCGGCTCTGTTCTACTCGGAAAGACCGAGTTCCCGACGACGAAACTTCTCGCACGCCCTTCGCCACGTCGAAGAATCCCTTTTTACGCGTAAATCGTGTCCCGTCGGAGGAAACGATTCCTTCGCCGAAGGCACATCTTTATTGGACGCTATGCAACGGGATCGACGACGATCGTCGGACCGTTTTTTTTGCTTTCGCCTCTCTGAAAGAGAACAAATATTATATGGAGAAAAGAGGTGTTTTTATGGTGGTGGTGGTGTCCGATCGCTGTGAACGCTTTCGGAATCACTGAATTTCGTCAGGAATTGAGAACGACTGCAACGAGAAACGAGGGGAGCAACGAGCTGCGAATTACAAAGGATAATGGTCGAGAGCGGGTCGGAGTGGGGATAGGAGAGCGAGATGGTGACGGTGTCGGCGATGGGGGTGGGGCGCCGAGGAACAGGTTTAACGTTGCTTACATCGAGTAACAGACCTGTTCGAGTATATCTATTAGATCTCTGCTCGGCTATTCTCTCTCTCTCTCTCTCTCTCTGTTCTCTTCTCTCTCTTGTTCGCGCTCGCGGCCCGTTCTTTTCCACGCTCTTTCTCTTTCTCGCTGCTCTCGGCCGCCGAAGGAAAACCTGGCCCCGAGATTTCAACCAGTCGATTGCGACAATCGACGCGGGAGAGAGAGAAGGGTCTCTCTCCGACAAGTAGCCGAGCTTTTTCGATCGAACGAGAGCGCTCGTTCGTAATTTGTAAGCGCCATATTGTCTGCTGCGACCACGCGGGGACCAGCAGGCGTTGCTCGTGGATTGGACGAACGAGGAAGCGGGACCACGACGATTCTTTCAACGATTATCCGCCGCACGCGAGCGCGTATTCGCGAACAAGTAAAATATACGTGTTACACACCGTACGCATCTCTGTTTCGTCTCGCCTCGAATCTCTCTACTCGTTACATGCTCTCTCGCCCAGCGATCGTCCACCTAGCAACCTACCAACCTACCTATCTCTCCGTACCTTCCTGTCTACCTACCTACCCACCAACCTACCTACCTACCTACCTGCCCGCCAGCCTGCCTACCTGCTACCTATCTACCTATCTACCTACCTGTTCGCTTTCTTGCCTGCTCGACCGGCCGGCCGCCGGCCCGTCTGCCTGCTGTTGCTTCTGCTGGAAAAAGCAAGCGTGTTGCGCTCTGCTCTCTTCTCTCGCGTTCTACTCCGTCGGACTGGACGATCGTAGAGACGCACCGTGTAAAGAGAAGCGTTCCCGATCGTTCCGTTGAGTTCCGACGAATTTCCGGCGATTTTTGCTCTGTAGAACAACGCCGATTTTTCGCTGGAAAGAGAGAGAGAGAGAGAGAGAGAGAGAGAGAGAGAGAGAGAGAGAGAGAGAGGAAAGCTGGAGAGAGAGAGAGAGAGAGAGAGAGAGAGAGAGGAGCAGCTTCTCCGGCACACCTGTTCGTTTAGAATGATCGTCGTCGTGAGAAGCGGCGGCGTATCGGTGTGTCGAGTACAAGGACCGCGGGCCCGCTTTCCAGATGTCGGGGACCGTCACGGGGACCGACGAAGACAGCGTCGTCCTCCGCGTATCGCCTCGTTTTTTCGAGGAACCGACGCTCGTTCGCGGGGACGCGTTTCAACCTCGGTACACCGAGGAGTGGGGGGAGGGGGTGCGATCCCGGACTATGGAAAACAGAAGAATTTTGATCGCGTTTTCGTTCGAACGAATCCGGTAAACTAGAGGGAAGCGTAAAGGGTCGATGACCGCGGAGGAACGCGAGTTACGCGTTTGGTCGAGGGTGGGTAGAGCGTCGGCGGCGGCGGCGGCGGTGGTGGTGGTGGTGGTGGTGGTGGTGGTGCTGCTGCTGCTGCTGCTGCTGCTGCCAGCGGTGGTGGTGGTGCTGGGTGCTGGGTGCCGGTGCCGGCGATAGTGGTGGTGGAAGGCAGCGACGGTAACGAACGTAAGGGGAGGCGGCCAAATCGAACTCGAGACGCACGTAAAGAACCTAATAATGTTTCTGGTTCGACGTTGCGTCTCGTCGACGAATGTATGCGCTTTGTTTGCTTCTCTCTCTCTCTCTCTCTCTCTCTCTCTCTCTCTCTGTGTGTGTGTATATATATGTGTATAATAATAATAATAATAATATATATATATACAGAGAGAGAGAGAGAGGGAGAGAGAGAGGCAAACAATCGGCGGATATTATGCATAATATATATATACATAATATCCGCCGATTTGATCGTCCAGGTGCTAGGCCCCGAAGGCCGAGAGGGTTGAAACCGCGCGAACGGATGAAACGCGAACGTAGCTCCGGTCTCCGCGGACTACAGGAGCCGACGAGAGCATGGCGGAGCAGAGAACGGGGTTTGATCGCGACGAATCGAAACTCTCCGACGAATAAATTGAAAGAGCGCGTTTCGTTCCCCTTCCATCGCCGCCGTCCGACTCCGCGTTCCGCGTACCATCGGAGAGGTTCTACTACCTACCTACTATCCCCCCACCCCACCCCCCGGTGTGTTCTCGGCAATGATTCAGCCGTGAGCGACGGTTAACGTCGTTTATCTGTTTCCAGAGAAACGAGAACCTCGATTTCGCGCTGAACGTGCCGCAGTCTCATCACCCGACGCCTTATCATCATCAAGAGGGTTACGCCATGGCCGATCAGGTGAGTTCACCCGCGGATCTCGAGCGAAACCGACGAACGGAAAGGGGCCACGAACGCGTGCACGTGGTGTTCCGTCGGGAGCGGACCCTCGTCGAAATAGAATCCGTCGGTGGCCCGGTTACGGGCCCGCGGGGCGCAGAGTCAGCCCGTCCTCCCGCAGATATACGTACACAATATTCGGCCTCTATCTTCTCGCAGAGACATGGTAAACAAAAACAATCGCTGTCCCCGAGAACGACTCTCAGCAGCTTCGCGTTCTCTCTTTCTCTCGTTGTTTGTTTATTCGGTGTTCGACCTATTCGTCACCGCGTTTCGATCTCGAGGGAAGGCTGTAGAAGGGAACGAAACGTGTATACGCGTTCGACACGAAGAGAAAGAAAACCAGCTTTCGATCTCGGCGGAAACACGGTTCTTAGGACCGGGTTTCGAGCGTCGTCCGCGTGTCCCGTGTGATCAGGGGACGAGAGGAATTAGCGATCGCACACCACTCGCAGGTCTAGGCGTCCGTTCTCTGTCCCTCTACCCCGCCCCCTCCCTCCGTCCGCGTTGCTTTCTCGAGTCGTTCTCGGAAGCAGATCGCTAGAGGAACGACGCGGACGGTCGTCCCTCGAATCTGGTCGTTGGATGCGGGCAAGGGCGCGAGAGTGCGCCGCGCCGGGTACGCAGGTACACACTTTGTATTATGTCTATCCTATATTGCGTGTGCGGACGCGAGAACGGCGAGCTGCTCCTCCTCCTCCTCGCTCTGTGTATGCCGTTGACTCGCTTACTCGCACGTTTACTCGCTCGCTCGCTGCGAACACGAAGACACGGGCGAATAGGATCGCGAACCAGCTCGAGAGAGCCACCAAGCAAACCTACCACTGTATCTTGACGGAGGTATATGTATGTATATAGTAATATATATATATATATATATATATACATATAGGGGCAAAGAGAAGAAAGGGGGTGGAACAGGCGAACCGAGAAAGAAAAGTTTCGACCCGTTGGAGGAAGAAGATGGATAGATGCGTAGTCGATTCGGCGGAGACGGAAAGGGGTTTCGGGGGAGAGTGGGTGCGCGCTGGAGAAGGAGTAGGAGTAGGAGTAAGAGTAGGAGGTAAGAGTAGTTGAAATAGGACGGGATGGGACGGGACGGGACGGGCCGGGCCGGGACGGGACGGGACGGATACGATGTACGCGTACACACGATAGCGGAGGGGTAAAGCGCGCAGCGAAAAGGGACGGGAGAAGAGAAGCGGGAGCGGAACGATAGAGTAAGAGAAACACCGCGAGTTAAGGGGTAACGCGCGATGGGCATGGGGGGAGAGAAGGGAGGCAGAGGTAGGTGTACTCGATCAATAGGCAAGTACGTTCCTTCAAAGGAAAATTCCTGACGCTATTAAATCCAATTTAAAAACTTTTATTCCCCGTACCTCCCGCCCCCCGCCCCCACATACTACATGGCGAATTTAGTTTCCTTTGTTTCCCGCCTCTCCGTGTCGTCCCCCGTGTTGCTGCTGCCACCCGTGTGTGTGCCCCGTGGCCCGTGCCCTGTGGCCCGTCGTGTCCCTTGCGAAACGGCGAGCGCGTTTCGCGCGCTGTGTACACCATACAGCGACGTTTAAACGAGTCGACGAGGAATATAAACGACCGAAAAGCGTCGTCGTCGTCCAACGATATCCGAGAGCCATGTGTATCCGTTTTCGAGAACGACGGGAGCGAGAGAGAGAGAGAGAGAAAAGCGCGGCGAACCGGAGCCGGAGAACCGGAACTGGAAACGGATACGGAAACGGAAACGATCATCATCCAGGTCCGCGAGAACCGGGCCATGTGGAGGCCCCAGAATTTTTCAAGTTTTTCCGATTTCTGTCTTTGTTACGCAAGCTCTTCTTCCCGCGCGTCCACGTTGATTCGCCGATCCGAGCAGGCCGCGCTACCTCGATGCGTTCGACCGTTCGTCAACTTTCCCTTTCTTCGTAGACGTTTCACACGCCCAGCTTCGGCGACGAGGATTTCGATATTCCCTCGATTCATTCTCACTCGCACCAGCAGCAGCAGCATCAACGCCAACAACAACAACAACAGCAGCAGCAGCAGCAACAACAACAACAGCAGCAGCAACAACAGTCCCAGCAACAAGCTCAGCACGATCAGATGCATAGCTATCAGGCGCGGGTGAGTCTCGTTGGGACCAGAGAGAGAGAGTGGGAGAGAGAGAGAGAGAGAGAGAGAGAGAGAGAGAGAGAGAAGTACAAGCAGAGCGCGTGTGAGACTCATTTGAAATTCCTTTGAAACCGATTTCACAGATGATGCAGTCCACCGGCGGTATTCAACAGTCTCCGGACGGATTAAATCTGGACCCCGGAGGATATCAGCAATCGCTCTATCTGCAGCAAGACCATGCGATGCAACCGATCAGCGTCGGGTAAGCCCCCGCGTCGATTCACAGTTTATCGAAATCCAACGGGCCGTGGCTTTTTCCCTACGCGATTAACAAATTTAGTCCGTTGGCTCTTGTCTTATTTAACTCTCGTGTACCGATCACTTTCCAGTATCAGTACAGTAATGTCTCTCTAATTGACGCTCAGATTGTCCGCGATAATTGACCGCACAGAAATGGACAATTTGGGAGGAGGAGATGCGATTATTCGAGCTTTGCGGTACGTTTTTGTAGTCACGAATTGTCAACGATTATAAAAGTGAGCTACAAGACTCGAATAATCGTGTCCCCTCCCAAATTGTCCGTGCGTCAGTAAGGGAGACATTACTGTACCGGGAATTACATGCGTCAGTAAGGGAGACATTACTGTAATGTCTCCTGTAATGTCTCCTTTACTGACGTTCAGATTGTCCACAAAAATGGACAATTTGGGAAGAGGAGATACGATTATCCGAGCCTTGCGGCTCGTTTTTGTAATTGTTGACAATTCGACAAAATTGTATCGCAGACGTCGAAGAGATGTTTCGCATAAATCAACAACTAAATTTATCCCTCAAACATCTGCCATCGTTTGCAACACGAATGCTAATAATTATGTTCTAAATTATAAGTCGCATTAGAACCCTTTGGCCTACGGTTGCCGGGTCATTTCGACCCAACGCGTTCAAATGGTCATTTTATTGGCCAATTTTCGATTCGATTGCTGAGTCAATGAAATAAATGTTACGCCAAGGATAACGGAAAGACTGATAAGCCAAGTACAGTAATGTCTCTCTAATTGACGCTCAGATTGTCCACAAAAATGAACAATTTGGGAAGAGGAGATACGATTGTTCGAGCCTTGCGGTTCGTTCTTATAGTTACGAATTGTCAACAACTATAAAAACAAACTGCAAGGCTCGAACAATCGTGTCTCCTCTTCCCAAATTGTCCATTCCTGTGGACAATCTGAACATCGATAAGGGAGACATTACCGTAATCGTTTGCCAAAGGGCTCTCCGATATCCGTGAAATTTTAACACGTTGCACGACTCGAGTTTTTTCTCACGATTTTTCCGCCGCAAAGAATATCCCGTGGCAACTCACGCGTGTCAGCACGGAGCGCGGCCGTTTATCTACAATTTCTATGCGGTCGCAACACACGCGGAAATCGGTAAGCAATCTATAACAACCGCGGATGTTTTTTTAAACAAATACCGAAGAACCAAGCAAGACCCCGTGCGCAAATACTCGACAAATTCTCCAACACTGAATTTGCCGAGCTCTAAAAGCGACTAACTAAACGCGTTGTTGTTCATAAAAAACGACAAGGCTGAATTTATTTGCACGCTCTGCCATTTTTGTTACAACTGATGGACTAATTTAGCCAACAGTTTCTCGAGAAAGTGACCGAATAATTTCGACAATGAAACGAATGAAAAATGTAAAACCGGCGTGAAGATTTCGCCGACAATGTCGAACACGTGAACGCCAATTTTGAATCACTATGTTCTCGTCCCAGCTCCAGCTACAGTAGCCCACCTGGTTCGTACGCGCCGATGAGCTCGCCGCGCCAGCAGCACGGAAGCCAGCAGATGATGTTGCTCCAACAACAGCAACAACAACAACAACAACAGCAACAGCAGCAGCAACAACAACAACAGGCACAGATGCAGCAGCACATGCAGTACATGCACACTCAGCAACAGCAGTTGCAGCAGCAACAGATGCAGTACAGGAGTCCCACAGGGGGTAGTCCGCCGACGATTCAGTCGAGCAGCGTGCCGGAGCCGAATAACAACACGACCACCAGCGAGGACAGCGACGACAGCACGCCGCACTCTGGAATGGTAAGTCGCGAACGATATCACTGTTACCGTGCCGAGTGATCTTCACCGAGTAATAACCATCCGATTCCATCAGATCACCGGGATAAAGCGACCGTCGCCGGAGCCGGCCGACGTCGGCGCGAAGAATCAGAGGAAGCCAAAGTCGCAGAAGAAGAAGAAGAAGAGGGATCCGAACGAGCCGCAAAAGTGAGTAACGCGTTCGACTCCGCGCCTCTTCGCAAGACCAACAGACTCTGCATCGTCGATGTATATTTGTTTCAGGCCCGTGTCGGCGTACGCTCTGTTCTTCAGGGACACGCAGGCGGCGATAAAAGGTAAAAACGCCAGTGCGAGCTTCGGCGAGGTGTCGAAGATCGTTGCCTCGATGTGGGACGCCCTGGACAGCGAGCACAAGAACGTGAGTGACCGTGTTCTCGTCTTCCCCGCGTGTAGCACCAAGCCAGTTCTTGATTCGTTGTTTTGCAGGTTTATAAGAAGAAGACCGAGGCGGCGAAGAAGGAGTACTTGCAAGCCCTGGCCGCGTACAGGGCGTCTCTCGTCAGCAAAGGCGCGGCCGAGAACGAGCAACAGCAGCAGCAGCAGCAGCAACAGCAGCAGGCGTCGCCTCAGCAACAGCAACAGCAGCAACAACAACAGCAACAGCAGCAGGTTCAGTACGCGACGTACGGGAACTACACCGGAACCGGGACCCCCGTGAGCGTCTCGTATCAGGTCTACAGTCCGCAGCCGCAACCACCGTCTCCTCAGCAGCAGCACGCGCATCCGCACCCGCATCAGCATCAACACCAGCACCATCATCCGCATCCTCAGCAGCAACAGCAGATGCAGATGAAAAAGTCGGCTCATCATCTGAGCATGACGGGGAATCCGCAGCAGCAACAGTCGCAGCAGGTAGTAACGCGTCGCTCGACTTTCGTTTTTGCTCGTCGTCAGCGTGTGTTCTCCTCCGTTCTCGTTTCGAAAGCCGTATTTCGCGTATTGATCGTCGTTTCTTGTCCAGAGTCTGATGAACAGCGGAATGGTGTCATCGCACATCGGTCAGCAGTCGCAACAGTCGCAGTCGCAGTCGCAACAGCAACAGCATATGCAACAGCAGGTCTCCCAGCAGCAGTACATGCAGGTGAGCCCCGTCGCTGCAGGGTGGATTAATTTGTCCTTCCAAGGTGATGACCTAACGGTTTGGCGGTTGCGTCGACAGGTGCAGCAACAGCAAGTGCAACAAGTACAAGTGCAGCACCAGTCGCAGCATCACCACCAACACCAACAGCAACAGATGCTGCACGCGAGCCCTCCGAAAGGGGACTCGTTGTCCAGCCCCTCGCCTGCTGGCAGCACGGGCCAGGCGACAATAACCGGGCAAAGACCGGCGTCGAACGCGTGCATTAGGCACGGCTGTCCGAATCCCGCGGTGGCGAATAGCGAATGGGAGGACGAGTACTGCAGCAACGAATGCGTGGTCAGCCACTGCAGGGACGTGTTCACCACGTGGGTCTCCTCGAATCAAACTCCCCAACAGAACTTTTCCACCGTCAAATAAGGATACGTAGAATCATGAAAAAGCGTACGATCATTCGAGCACGCGTTTCGACCGTCGTCGTCGTTCGTTCGTGTTCGATATGAGTATACCTGATCTAAAGCGTGTACATAAATTGACAAAGAGAATCGCGTAGGATCGAGCAACCTAAACCGATGACGCTAATAAAACTCGACTGGTACGCGCAGGCATACGCACGGCTCGGTGGTACGGGACGGAATGTTTTTTGAGCCGTGTTCACGCATCGCGGACCCGACCAGTCACATTTATATCGTTTAATAGCTCTATATGTGTGCAAAACACGCGGCGACGATCCTGTCAACGCGGCAAGAGTATTATGAAATCGCCAAAGTAGCCGATCGAATTGAACCGTAGTTCCGAAGCATCGACGTCATCGTCCTCCCCCCTTCCTTTCTTCTCGCCCACCCTCCTCCTCGACTTCTTTGAGATTCCCACGGGTCGGAAACGAAAGAACGATTGAATCGAGTGTAAGGAAAAGTGTATCTTCTCTGCAACGTTTCGCTAGCGATCGTCTTAACAATTACGTGTCAACGTAGATCTCGCGCGACAAGCCTGCGATCCGATCGTAGTGCTCGCGCATCAACTGACGCGCACTCGGTTCCCAGGTTCTTTCTGACAAAACTCGTGTTCACGACACAAGATAGAGAGAGAGAATGAGAGAGAAAGAGAGAGAGAGTGGCGGTAACAAGCAATTTATTTTTGTATAATTATACGAATAATCGGTGGAACTATAGCAATACGAAGGATATCGTTAAACGGGCCAAGCGAAGAGCGACGAGCGATCGTCGCCCATCCTCGATCCTCGCCGGGTTTATTCTCGTTGACGACGAACGACTTAGGTGCGTAGAATTTTGTTGAATAATCCCGCGAGCGCCGTGGACACTATTTAACGCGAAATTATACGAATTCGTGCACCCTTCGCGCCACCATTTAAACGCGGAAATCGGGGCGAGGTTGCGGCCGCCGTCTGCGTATGTCCGCGTATTAATCCTTGTCACCCCTTGTCGGCGGCGATGATTCTACGCTCTCTGATAGCTGATTACTAGACAGATGATAAAAAGTATGTGACAAAAGAGAATCGTGAACTCTGCGTTGCCGGTATTTCTATCGATGCAAGCGTTTTTAAACAACCGTTTTTTGGTTTCTTTTTTCCTCGACATCCTCTTGTACATATAGACAAAGAAATATTCCATAGATTTTCAATGCTCCACGATGTAAACATAATCGGTAGTGTACCATACTATGATAACACCCCCCCCTCCCCGCCCCTACCCCCCTCGATATATCGTAACAAAAATGTATGAAATATATATATAAATACAAAAAAGGGAAACCGACTCGACACTAAAAAATATGTACGCACGCGTACATGCGAGACACGTACGTATATGGTGCATGTATACGTATAAGCGATTCGCTATTGTATGTACGTATGTATAGATGTACACCGTGACAGCGTAGCGTCACGATACACGTGAATAATACACGGACACACACACCACACACATACATACAAACACACACACACACGCGTTGCATCCACTCGGCGAGCTGAATCGGACTAACGTAGATAAACCGAGAAAATCGAAGGAGAAAACCAACTGAAAAAAGTTGTTGCGTCGTCGACCACGTTACGGAAGATTCTTCCCATGTTAGTCGTAAATCGCGTCGATATGTATACCGAAGAAAAACAAAAGAAAAAGGCGTAAAAAGAGAGAAAGAGAGAGAGAAAGAGCGCGCGAGGATGAAAGGAAAGAAGGATAAGTAAAGAAAGAAATGATGGAAATAAATCTAGAAAAGCTCGAATTACTTATCGTAGTGCTAGCACTTTGCGCCGAACGTATGCATACACGCATGCATATATGGGTGTAGGTGTGTAGGTGCGTGCGTGCGAGCGTCTGCCTGCGTGTATGTATGTATATGTACAATGGTGATTCGAATTTCCGACGAGTTGATTTTGAATTTTTTGTTGATTTTCTGTACAAAGATGATAACGATTAAACGAACGTCAGTGTGGAACATGCGTACACGCTTATGGGGGGTTCTCTCGTCGACGAGAGAACCGGCACTCAACCGTGAACTCTCTCCGGGGATCAAGAGACAGCGCGAAAGCGTCGGTAACGTATATGTAACACAATGACTATACCTTTTATTTAAAGTTACTTTACGAGGTACATTTATATACATAAAAAATGTATGATTAATACGTTTAAGCTTACGCAATATAGACATTCGTACACGTGCAATAACGTAATCGTAACATTTGTTTATCATCAACTTTAGCTTCTTATTTCTGGTTTCGATGCGAGTCAACGAATATACATCTAAACTGTATCGATTTTCTACGAACGATACCGGAATGTTTGCAAGTTTCTTTGCCCGAAACTCATAAAACTCTCGTAATTGTCAACAATTTATAAAGGTCTGTCGCACGCGAATGGAACAAGCGGCAACGAAAGAACGTTTGGTCGAGCCGGGTCGAGCTGAGGAAACTGTTTCGGGATTCGAGTCGATGAGCGGAGCCGAGAGGGAGAGAGAGAGGAGTTGCCGTAGCTCTGCGTGTACCATAATGGCGGACGAACACGGTGTGTTGTTCGTTGGTTTGTTCGTCGTGTCGAGGCTCGGCGGATACGAGAGACCAAATGGAGAGGGACAAAAGAATCTGTGGTATTGAGAGCTCGCGACACGAGTCGACCAAAGAATTATTTCGCGCTTGATATTTCCATGATTTTTGGTAAAAACACGAGACGACACGCGGGCGAACGCTTGAGATTCTTTCGGACACGTTCGAGCATGTCCGAACGCATGCGTTCGGTCTTCTTGTACTTCGATGCCCCTAATTAGGGGCTTTCCCAATTACCGCGCGCGATCCACGATATAGACTTCATCCGCATGGACTTATCCGCGTACGTTACAAGCTCTCGCGGGCATCGCTTGTTCGCTTAGTTCGCGTGTGTGTCTTCGTGTTTTCGAGTTTTCGTCAAATGCACGACACAAAAATAAATGCTCCTATTTCAATTACATATTCGTCATTTTCTCTTTCACAGCCATCCGCGCGCCACGCACACATAATACATACACACACGCTCGCGCGCGCGCGCCACAAACAACAGGCGCGCGCGCGTGTCACTTTTTCGACAATTTCTCTCATTCACACGCACGCACGCATACAAGATAGACGCACGCAGGCACACGTCATTTAATAATTAAACATAGCTCGTTAAATTTCTTCTTTTTTTTTACAAAATATCACAAAAATCACACCAGCCTTTGTTCACGATAAAACAACCAAATGTTGCTATTCCGTTCGAAGGAAATAGAATCGCTGCGTTCGCGCGATACCAGGTTTCGCGACACGGCTTGTATCGTTTCACGCGCTTTCTCCCGATTTTATAGTCTGCGGCTGCTCGATAATGATCTTTCCGTTGCGCTTCCCGGAAACGTCCATCGGCCGGGCGAAATAAGCGTATGACGATGCGGACGCGGAATCGCGGTTAACGCAACGGAGAAGAAAAAAAAACGTTTCCGAGGTCCCTAAAACGCTACTGTCTTTTAAACGAAATCATCGTAGTCGTGACGCGACTCGTAACGGAGGGGAGAGATCGCGCTTCCAGTATCGTTTCCGTCGATTCGTCGAGGATCCTCTCGGAGATAAAAGAGAACAAACTACCATCTGCCGATCGGCCGACGTTCCACGGTCGACGTCACGGAGACTCCTCGCGAACAGGTGGGATTTTTGAAAGGTCTACATTCTTATTAGACGAGTGTATCCGTGTTCACCGTGTCGGATGAATGCAAACGGATGGAGACGAGAAGCGCAACGATGGTCGCGTGATGTCGCGTGACGCCGCGTACAAGAGGAACGGCGCACGACGGAGAAAATTCGGCGTTTATCCGTTGGAGACTAATCGCTCCAGTCGGCCACGGGTTCATTTGCCGTCGTCCTGTTCCATGGGCTCCTCATAGACTTCGCGGGAATGTTCTGAGGTGGTCCTGGAAGAAAATCTTTTTATACAATGTGTCCAAACGTCCTGTTATTTACATTCATATACTTTTACGCTAAACCTACTGAGCTCTAAAAGCGATCAACGCGTGTTGCTTTATAAAAACGGCTTTCTGTCACTTCTTTTATAATGCAAGTTTGAATAACGGGATTCATTCAATCGTTGTACATGACAATCTCAAAAATTCCATAAAATTGAAGTATTTTATTTAATCAAATTGAGAGAGAGAGAAAAGCTAAATTGTATAACTTCAATTACTCTTCAATATTCTTATATAAGTTTAGCGATCATCCATTCTTTAGGACACTGTCTTCAAGAACACTTAAAGAGTCCTTTGAGAAGTGGTATTCGATGGTCTGCACTTACGTTAAATTGGTAGGCTGTTGCATGGATAGAGAGGCCATCGCGGAGACCGTCTCCGTTTCGTCGCGTTCCTTCTGGCCGGCTTCGATCGCGCTCATCGACACCGTGTGAGCGTTCACCTTAACGCAAGGCCAGTGCGACATCTGCGTCGCGCGACGAAGGTAGCGAGAACAAGAAGAAGAAACGTTTTAGAGAACGAGACAAAGAGACCAATTCGAAGAGACGAAGGGAGCGCTGCGGAGGGCGGGAGGCGAAGGAGGGGTGCGATCGTACCTGGACGGCGATAGTTTTTTGGAGCGTGTCGATCGCGTTTTGGCAAGGAATCCTGGTGAGCTCTTCTTCCCGAAGTTGGCTAGGCTCGTCGCCGAGCAGCGCCCGCACGCATTCCTGCGCGGAGTCGCAGATGGCGGCCAAATCGTAGCCGCCTTCGAGGGCGAGCACGACTTTGCCGTCCGCCAGGCCGAGAAGCTGTTGCGTCATCTTGCCGAAGCAGGCCGGGCTGACCTTGTAGCCGCCGAGGGGCGCGGCATGGCCGACGGCCGCGTCGAATCCCGCCGAGACGAGCACGATGCTCGGGTCGAACGCCTTGGCGATCGGCATCACGATCGTGCGGAACGCGGCGAGATACTCGGCGTCTCCCATCGGCGGGTTCAGGCCGCCGGACCAGGCGATGTTCACGTTGTATCCGAGTCCCTCGCCGGCGCCGCACTCGGTGGACCCGCCGGTGCCCGGGAAGAAGTTACCTTCGTCGTGCCTGTGTATCGACAGGTACAAAACTCGCGGATCGTCGTAGAACATCTGCTGCGTTCCGTTCCCATGGTGGACGTCCTACGGTACAGAGAGAGAGCAAGAAAAAAACACGGGCCGTCGCCATTGGAGAAGCCGAGAGAGGCGGTCTTTTTTCTTTTCTTTTTTTCTTTTTTTGTTCGATCCGAGAGGCGGTCTCGTGCGAGCCGAGGGACTTTTGCCGAGGGACTGACGAGGGACCGACGACGCAACGACCGACAAACACCGATATACCATCGATATCGTTAAACCGTGGGTGGGTTAAAACCGTGTGTGCCTCCTGTCCCCCGTCACCCGTCCCCGTGGCACGGAACGCGCCCAATTCGCCGAATTCTTTGGGAGAATCGAGAGAATCGAGAGCTTGTCTTACCCAATCCAATATCATGATTTTCCGAACGTCTAGCTTTTGCTGGAGCAACCTCGCGGCGATAGCGACCGAATTGAAGAAGCAGAAACCCATAGCCTGATTGGTTTCGGCGTGGTGTCCCGGTGGTCGCACGACCGCGAAGCCGTTCTTAATGTCGCCCATGACTGTTTTGAAGGCCAGGTCGACCACGCAGCCTACTGCCATTCTGGCGGCCGGCGCGGTATTCAGTTCGTTCCACGTGGTGTCCGAATCGACGCCCACTCCGCCGCAAGGCAACCGAACGAAACTCTTGATCGGCAGTTGAGAGAGCTTCGAGACGTCCAACTTTTGTCGATTCATCGGATTCGTCCCTGTGCGAAGCACAATTTATTCCCTGTCCGTGCGTCGCCGTCGAGAGGCAACGAAGGCTCGCAACGAAAACCGGACAATCTGGGGATGATCATCGGAGCCAGAGGATCGGGGATCGAGCGGAGCGAAGGAGGAGGGGATGATCGAGTCCAACGACTAGAGGAGATTCTACGAGGCTAACTCACCGAAGAGAAGCGCGTGCGCCTCGCTGTGGCACGTCTGTATCTCTTCGAGGGTTGCCTTGCGCGATCGGATCCGGTCGCATCGTTGAAGCAGACCGGTCTCCGAGAGTCTAGCCCACACACTCTGCAGTCTGCCACCGTGCTCCGGATGGCCGCGCACCGTTTCTCCGCAGACGCACGCGTGTTTCAGCATTAGCGGGTCGTAGGCCAATCCGGTGGTGGGTCGGTGAGAGGAGGATCGGGCGAACAACTCGCCTCCAGACTGAGGACCTGTGGAGCAATAAGGTTTTTAATAGAGCTGGCAACTTTATCCGGGTTCCCGAGTACCCATGAGACAGCCGAGTAACTTATAAATCGAGTATATAATCGAGTATCTTATAAATAAGATTGTACAATTAACTACAAGAACTATTACTATTTTAATGGTAATTATTAATTACTTTACTTATAATTAAACTCTAGCACTTTATGATTCGTTATATACTATACCAACTAAATCAAACTGAACTAAATCTGCTTCTTCAAAAAGCTGAAGGACATCAGTCGGATATTGTTTCAATTGTTTGGTCTCAAGCTTCATTAGTATAGATCTGAAGAATTTAAAAATTCGCAAAGCACGTCTTCTAGGTTCTGCAAATATTTCCTTCAATTAAATCTTATTATAGATAACCGAGTGCTAAGTTAGGCAGCTGTCTCACAAGTCCCAGTTTTAGTTTTAATCATCGTCCTCCAACGTAGTCGAACCAACGGCGAGGATTCGACTCACCCAAGTGAACAAGCGGACTCGAAAGCGCCCTGGACAGAGGTCTGGCGCACGACTGACTGTTTTTCCCGCTTCCAGGTCCTCCGCCACCTCCGCCCCCGCCTCCACCACCGCCCCCGCTACTGCCGTTCCCGCTGTAGGCCGTGGACTCGTTCGAGATCTGAAGGGTATGCCTCATCATGAGGTCCCTCTGCTGCTGTAGAAACTGTTCGCGGTCACGCTGCTGCTTGGAGATCTCGCTTTCCTCCTGCAGATCCTTCTTTCCGCCCGTCAGGTCTATCACCTCGGACTCCTCGGACTCGGGAGCCTCGTCCAGCTGGTTCGCCTGACCCCGAGACCCCACCCGGGTCAACACAGTCTGACGTATCTGCTGTTTCAGGTAGTTGTGCGCTTGCTGCTGGTCGTGCAGCTGCTTCTCCGCCAGGTACTCCTCGTAGTGGGTCTGCGGCGCCATCATGCCGCCCTGTAGCATCGGGTGACCCAACGGCAACGGGGCGGACTGCGTCCTGCCTGCGGACACGAGGGGAGAACCATAGTTAGCGCCGTTCTTCTTGTTCGCGGGTAGGGAAAGAATGATTGCGCGGGGATGAATGCCGAGACGCGCGCTTCCTTTCAATTAGTTCTTTAGCAATAAGCAATGCTGGAGGAAAGGAAAGAGGGAGGGGAGCGTCCTTTTGTCTTGGATTCGCCGGGGTCCTCCGGGTCACCGATTTCCTTTTGAAACTTTATACACTTTTACACCCCAATAGGTTTTTAGATATGCACGATTAAAGTTTCATTATTATAATGATACTCTGAGCAACTGGTGTTCTAGCCCGTCGATCTCACTATCAGTATCTGGTTGCAACAATGAAACTTCAATTAAAAACATCTAAAGAGAACTATCGAGTGTCTGCTCTTCTAATGGTACACAGATCTATAAATGTACAAAGCCTCTACAAAATCGGCGATCCTTGCACTCTCCTTGCAAGTAGGGGTCGCTGATGGGTCAGGGTAGTGGCGGGAAAGGTATCGAACAAGTAGCCATCTGCTAACAACCCTTGGAGGTAGCCGCTACAGTCTCTCCGAACCGTTTGGTCTCCAAACACCTACCGAGGCGGCAGGATTGCGTGTACCACCGTTTTTGCTGCGCGTCTCGAGCACTCGCCGGCTCCGGGTTGCCAGTAACAAAGAGAGAACATACTACCTAAAGGCCGGTGACCAGCCTTTTGCAGTCTCGCGTGCGCTACTTGCGTGTCCGTGATCGGCGACGCGGACGTGGCCGCAGCCGCCGCCGCAGCAGCCGCAGCCGCAGCCGCGGCGCTGTGGTAAACCGCCGCTTGCGGGTGTTGCCTATTCGTCACCGACGGGTGCTCCATATTCTGCATTTGCTTGTGCACGTAGCCAGAATTCCCCGATTCACCCTCGATCACCGTTAGCGACGGGTAGAACGGCAACGTGCCGGGTAACATCTGCCCGGTCAGCGGCATTCCTAACCTCGCGGTGAACGCTGCCCTCACCTCTGCCTCCGAGACGGTCGCCAACTTAGTGCCGGTCTAGACAAAGAGAAATCCTGTTAGTTTCTTGACTTCAGAGACGATTTAACACTTCGACGGCCGCGCCGGTTACCTCAAAAATTGCATAAATTTGAGGTATTGTATTTAATTAGAATTGAAATGAATGAAGTTAAGTTGTATGACAATTTAGGAAGTCATGATAGGGTTTGAGTGACGCAGCAACCAAAGTGTTAAGCGGGTACAGTAATGTCTCTCTAATTGACGCTCAGATTGTCCACAAAAATGGACAATCTGGGAAGAGGGATCCGATTGATTCTATATATAGCCTTGCGGTTCGATTATTATTACTATTACTATATCTATTATCTATTACTATTACTATACTATATCTATTATTACTATTACTATACTATATCTATTACTATATATATATTACTATGTCTATTATTATTATACTTATACTTATTATTATTATTACTCGTTTTTATAATTGTGGACAATTTATAACTGTAAAAATAAACCGCAAGGCTCGAATAATCGTATCTCCCCTTCCCAAATTGTTCATTTCTCTGCACAATCTGAGCGTCGGTTAGGGAGACATTGCTGTATTCCCATTCAGTGCCACGAATTTCAAGCATTCTTTTTTAGAACAAGGATCTTTTTATCTTCATAGGCGACATTTTCTACAGACGTTTGACTCTATTACAAGATAACACAGTGCAATGATTCATGCAATGATCTAATCGCAATCTACCAATCTAATCACAATGACTTTTTCTATTTTATTTTAGACTAGCTTAAATCGTGCGGACTCTTTTCTAGGACGCGACGGAAGACTAAATAAAAATTGTGAACGGTTCGAATAAATTCAATCTTTTCATTTTATTTTTATAAAGTAACACACTAGGATCCGGTAGGTCTAGCGTGAAGATTATAGCGAAATTTCTGCAGGACACGATTCCACGTGCCGGAACATTTGAACAACGACTCGATCGATCATCTCCGAATTGTACAAGCGTACAAGACAAAAATATCTTTGCGGACTATCTGATCCATTGCTCGTCCGAAGAATTGCTTGAAATTGCTGATGACTCGAGAGCGGGACTCACCGTGTTGCCACCGGACGGAACATGAGGTCTACCGAGAGAAATATTTGGCATGGACGGCGAGCTGAACAGCGAGAGGTCCGAGAGGCTGCCTTGCTGACTGCCGCTGGTGAGAGGTCCGCCGTAGGGGGTGTTTTCGCTTTCCTGCGGGCGAAAATTCGTGATCGGATCGCGTCTCTATCGACGAGCAACATAATCATCGCGGAGACATTACGTTCCATGGTAGCATAACGGTAGCTTCATCACTCACTTCTTGTATGGCCGCCGCGTTTCCTCCAGCGGTTGGACTCGCCTGCGAGTTGCCCACGGTCGGCGGTGAGTTAGGCCCTGACTCCGGATTGCTGCTAGAATCTGGAAATCGTTTGGTCAGGGAGCAGCGGGCGCGGCTGTCGCAAAACGTGTGCCTGCCGCGTGCCGCGTGGCGAGATCGGTTCTCCTCGAGTCTCGAGCGAGAGAGCCTCTCTCTCTCTCTCACTTCCGGTCTCTCGTTCGAGCTCGAGAAGGTCGCGCGCTCGGGGGTTGTGCGTCGCGCGCTCGTTTCGCGGAACCGCGGAAGTGTGACGGTGCCAAGAAGAAGGCGGGGTGCGGCGACCGCGGACAACGTTTAGAAGAAGAAAAAAAAGAAAGAAAAATAAGTTGAAAAACGAGCGACGCACTCCCACACACGGCGACGATCCCGTATTCGAGAAACAATGTTAATCGATTAACGACAGTTTGTTCGTCGACATGCTGTTACTGGACACTGGCAGAAAGGCAAAAAAATCCAACGATCGATTAATCGAAAACTCGGGTGCAAAAGAAGAACCGTTCGTTCGCTAATGCTCACGCAGGAGTAGTGCCGGTAATTTTCGACGATCGATATATCTCTGAATTCTCGATTTAGTTCGATCGCAGCAAACGTACTTGCTAATAGTGACTTCCGTTTGAGGTGCGACAGCAGGCGATCCTTCCGGCGTGCCGTCAGGGGCGAGTTTCTCGACGCAGCCATGTTCCTCTCCACGCGTTGCTTAAGTCGCACCTTCAGCAGGTTCGGCTCCGAGGCTGGCCAATTTTAGCCAGGGTTAGTTGTTGTTGGTCGTCGTCGTAACGAACCGGAGGGTAAAACGATTGCGAGCTCGGGACAACGTGGATGCGGGTCAGACGGCGAATCGGATCGGCGCGAGGAGGGCGGGTGGCGGTGGGGGGTGGGATGGGGTGGCGAAGGGAACGGACGCGGGAACGGTGGAAACGGAGCGTGTTAGAGCGACGAAACGGAGGTAAAGAAAAAGCGCGTGGGCGGCGAGAACGAGCGGACATCCTCGGACATCCCCGGGAACCCGAGTTTCCCATGGAGCCGACGAGTCGCCGAGCATCGCGCGCTCCACCACCCGTTCATAGAAAGGAAAGACGATGATCAGACAGTATCGTTTGGAGACTTCGCAAAAACCATGCTTTAGTAGGCATACTACCGTACATAGGCACACAGAGTGAAGAAAGAAAAGAGAAATGTAAAAAAAGAAACGAACGGGAACGAAAGTAAAACGGAACGAAGTGTGGGGATATACACGAAAGAAAGAAAGAAAGAAAGAAAAAAAGAAAAATAGAAAGAAAGAAAATAAGAGAGTAAGAAAGAAAGACAGACAGACAGACAGACAGACAGACAAAAAGATAAGAAGAAAGTGAAAAATAAAATGAAAGAGGAAAGAAAAAAACTACGTCTTACCAAGTATGCGAATCACTCGACACCACGGGATAATTTGGCATGACGCGCGTGTATAAACGTTCGCCTGTCTACGTACCTGTTTTACGAAGAGGGAAATCGTCGGCGAACTTTTCCTGGAGCATCTGCGGCATTCGATAGGGGTGCGAGGCGTTCGCGGTACCCGCCGATTCCGACTGCGGTTGCAACCTGTGGGCGATCAACTGGTAAGAAATCGAGGATCTACGATCGTTCCGGCAGGGACTCACGATGGAAATCCGAACGAAATATCTCACCAGCTTCTGTATCCGGGCGTGCCGGGTATGGCACCGTTCGCGGCCGCGGCGGCCTCCCTCTGCTTCTTGTTCACGAGGAAGCTCTGAAACGTGGAACAAATCGGCGTCAGGTCGCGCAAAATTGTCGCACAGCCTCGAAATCGCTCCGAAATCGTGGCCGAAACCTCGAAGAGTGCTCGAGTTTAATTTAAAATCGGTACTGCTCGAGCTTCCGAGCGATGCGTGAAATTAACCCTTTGCACTCGAGCGGCGAGTAAAAGCGGGGGAGGCGGCACTAAAGATTGTTACACCATTTTTCGTGGAATAATTGAAACAGTATCAGATTCGTTGTATTTAAAAAAACGGTTAAAATAGCAATTATTATACTTGTGCCGATAGAGGCATAATTTCAGATGCGTAAACCGCGCTGAATCATGTAAAACGGAAATACTGCATAAAATACTGCGCGAAATTAACCCTTTGCACTCGAGCGGCGTATCTGAGGCGCCACTAAAAATTGTTACACCATTTTCCATGGAATAATTGCAACAGTACCAGATTCGATGTATTAAAAAAAAAAACTGTTAAAATTGCAATTATTCTACTTGTGCCGATAGGCACAATTTCAGATGCACAAAACCGCACTGAATCGTGTGCAACGGAAATACCGCAGATCGGAGAACGTCTTTTGGATTCCGGACGAAAATAGTTGCGACTGCAAAGGGTTAAAAAATGCATCGACATCCGTTTATTTATATCGCGATCCGATCGGATCGAACAACGGGGTCTCTCGAACGTAAAATTGCATTGTAGAATTTCGAACAGGTTTTATCAGTTTAGGAGCACCGGGAAGCCCGCGAACGGCTCACCTGAAGCCGTTGCTTGACCTCCGTCGACGCGATCGCGCTGTGATCGTGCTTGTCCTTCTTCCTGAGCGCCTCGAGCCGCTCCTTCTCCCTTCGTTGTTCTTCCAGTTGCTTCTGCTGTTCCCAGACCTGCGGGACCGATTCGGGCATAGACCGATATTCAAGCAGGCTCGAATATAAAGAGAGAGAGAGAGAGAGAGAGAGAGAGAGAGAGAGAAGAAAAAAGGGAACACCGGGAATATTCTCACCTTTAATTGGTGCATCTGTTGTTCGTGGAGCTCGATCAGCTGGCGCTCCTGCGCCTGATACTGTTGCCGCAGGATCTGTTGCTGTAGCTGGTGTTGTTGTTGCAGCTGGAAGAACACGGATCCGCGGGTTTTACTCCGTGCTCCGGAACAACGGGACGCACGCGGTCCGCTGGCCGGCGGCTGTGTTTGGAACGAGAACGAACGAGACGCGAGAAAAAGCGGTGGCGGGTCGCGGGCGGCAATCGGAACAACGGAACGGAACGGAACCGAACCGAACCGTGTTGCCGGTTGACGCTTCGGCCGCTTAGAGAGAGAGAGCGATCGCTCACGGCGAATACGTTACCTCTAGTATCTTTTGCTGGAGCGCGTGACCGTGGAGGGTGGCCGTGGTTGGATCGCCGGAGGCGGTGTGATAGACGTTGGGTGTCAAGGTGGCCGTAGCACCGCCAACTCCGCCGACCAAGTCCCGCGGCCTAGACATGGGTGAGCCCGGCGTGTCCCTGGCCATTTCTGCGCACACACAACAACCACCGATCGCTCGTGTTTCGCTCAGCCCCCTCTACTCCCCTCCCCTCCTCTGGCCGTTTTCGAGAAACTCGGCGACGTCGACGGCGAACGTCGACGGCGGCACGGCCGTAACGCAACGAAACCACCGCGCGCACCGGCGGGGTGGGTTAAGCGCGCTCGCGACTAATCGCGGAACGTCGCAAAAGATACGCGACCGCGAAAACTGCCACGGGCTCGTCCACGGGCGCGATCATTATCTCGGAATCGTCGCGAGCGGCTCGATAGCGCGGCTATTTTTAGAAGTCGCGGCCGACCGTGCTGACGAACGCGCGCGCGTGCACGACGAACTCGCGTTATCTATGGTTCTGCTCCGCTCGTTGTTCGACCGATTTCGCGCGGTGCCCCGCGACGATCCGCGATATCGCGTTCGAAATCGGATCGAATCGGATCGAATGGTTGCCCCGCTTCTAGAGAGACGATGCGCCCGAACGCCGAGCGGTCGCAGGCGAGCGGCGAGAGCGGTGAGTAAAAGCTAGCTAGCTTAGCTCGGAGAAGGAAGTTTCGCGCCGTGTGACGAAACCATCGGATCGCCGATAATGGCGTGTATATGTACATTCGGTGGACAGAATCCGTAGTAACGGCGACACGCTGCCGCGAACGGTTCCGCGCGCGGTTTCCCGCTTGTTCCGCTTGACTCACCCTTTTGCGGCAAATGCGTAAACGCGGACGCGATCTCGACGCTTCTATAGCCCACGTCTTCTGAAACAGAACAGAGAATCGGTTCAGCGGGTCTCGATGATCGAACGGTGCTCCGTCGCCTGTCTTCCTCTCTCTCTCTCTCCCTCTCCCACTTCCACTTCCTGATCTCTCTCTTTCTCTTTCTTTCTTTCTATCTCTCTTTCTCTCTCTCTCTCTCTCTCTCTCTCTCTCTCTCTCTCTCTCTCTCTCTCTCTCTCTCTGTATGTGTGTGCGCGCTTGTGTGTTCACGGCCAGGCGAAAATGGGTCCAAAATGGCTGGTGGTAGCGATCGCGAAAGAGAATGGACGAGCATCGAGTTAGCGAACGAGCAGAGGTCACTGCACGCTGCATTCCTTCGAGTCAAGTCCAAGGTTAATCGAAGGAGGGCCGTTCTCCGACGCGCGCGTGCTTCGCTCTTCTCCCTTTTTCCTTCGGCCCCGTCGATACCGGGAACCGCGAAACCTCTGCTCCGAAAATGGGATCACCCGGCATCGCGTGATCCTCGCGGGCTTCGTTTCGTTTCGCTTCGTTTCCTTTCGTTTCGTTTCTCTCGTTCCGTCTAGCTCTCCGCGTCGTGTTCGACGACGACGACGGCGAGGACGACGTCGTCGGCCGCCAACGAAGGAGACAATTAAGGCCCACATTGATTAGAGTAATTGCCACAAAAAGCGTTGTCCGGATGTACGCGTTTAAACCCTGCCTAGTTATCAATTACACGAAAATTTTACGGCACGCCGCACCGCACCGCGCCGCGCCGGTGCGGACGGACGCGGCGAGACGCTCACGTACGTCCACACCACGTTCCTCCTCTCCTCCACGTTCCGCCTTATCCTCGCGATGCCCGCGTGCTGATCCAAGACGCGAACACGGCCGACGGCGAATGCAACCTTGCGACGGTTTTCGCGGGATTTGGAACTTTCGTCGCGAACGCGTCGTTCGCTGTTAGAGACGGCCGCTTATTAGAGAGCGAGAGGATACGTAAACGATGCAGCGGAACCTCGATTAACTGTACCAACGGGGTCTCGATTCTGCATCGCGCAAAGCACGTTGCGCAAGCGAATGTAGTTCGTTGCACAAACCAGCGAACACTTTTTAATCGAACGCTCGAACGTCGGTCGAGTCACGATTTTATTATTAGAATGCTCGCGTTTATCGCGTTAGATTAGATAAATTAGAATTTCGACTTAGATCAGCTTTACAGCATTGTCGAGGAAGATTCGCGTTCGGCGAATCTGCCGTGTTACTGCCAAGCGACCGGTTACTGTGCCTCCTTTTCGTTCTCTCGTTTCGAGCTTTTTTTCAAGTTAAATATTTCTCGCGATAAAGAATTTCATCATTACTTTTATTGTAATAATTATTATTTAGTAAATAATTTTGCTCGTGTAGATGTAAAATATGATAGTAACCGAATGGTATAATATAGTAATAATATAATAATAATTATATGTCATATATATATATATATAATAATATAATATATAATAATAATAATAACCAAATGGTATAACATAATAATACCAAAGGCACAATGATTGGTCACCGTACGGTAATCCTGGCTCCGCTACCTCATAGTCGAACTCGCATAAATGTAAAATATAATAATAATCGAATGGTATAATATAATAATAATATATATTATTATATATATAATAATATAATAATAATATATTATTATATATACAATAATATAATAATAATATATATTATTATATATATATAATAATATAATAATAATATATATTATTATATATATATGTATAATATAATAATAACCAAATGGTACAATATAATGATACCAAAGGCACAGTGATTGGTCACCCGACGGTAACCCCGGCGTCGCTAGCTCCCAGTCGAACGCGTTTTCGTTTCTCTCGGATCGGCATCGCGTCCCTCGTTTTCGCAATTCGCGTTGTTCGAGGCTGGCCGGCCGTCGCGACACGCGTCGGTATTATTAGCGGGCGAATGTCGGTGTGTAGGTCGGGCAAACTGTTGCTCCGAAACCCCCTCGGGGGCTACGCCGAGCGACGGTACACGGTCGTCCGCCATCCCCGCGAGTCGGCCGAGCCGATAATTCGACACCGGCTGCTGCCCAGGACGACACGGATCGCGAGCCGATGGAAAAACCGTTCCCCGAGCGGCCCCGTCCCCGAGAGCTCGGGCCGCGGCGCGGGTCGTCGCAACAGGTGGGTCTCGCGGGTACGAGCGCGGGTATCCGGGTACCTCCGGTGTCAGCTGAAAAGACGGCGCGCGGAACGCGAGCACTGCGTCGGCGTGCGACGCGTCCAAAGCGTCGCTTCGAAAGCGCTCCAAGACGGGGGTGGTGGAGGTGCGGCCCGAGTCTCCGTTTGCCTCCCGTAACGTCCCGACAGCCATCTTTTCGGCCGGCGACGACGGCACCCGCGAGGCAACGAACCTAATTCCGATATTCGCGGTGCGCCCAGTTACGCGAGAGGAAACGCGCTCGTTGCGAACTGTGCGCCGGGATATCGAGACGGACAAGGAGAGAGAGAGAGAGAGAGAGAGAGAGAGAGAGCGCAAGGGTTGCGACGAGGAAAGAGAGAGCGCGAGCATGAGAGAGAGAGAGAGAGAGAGAGAGAGAGGGCGCAAGGGTTGCAACAAGAAGAGAGCGCGAGCATGAGAGAGAGAGAGAGAGAGAGGCGAGAGGTTCGCCGAAGAGAAGTCGACGGAACTTTTTACTCGTGTTCCTGGCCGGTGGCCGACTAGCTAAGATTAGACGTACGCTTGCTATATATAGGATGACATTTATATACGCGCCTACTAAACGCGGCGAACGTACACGCGTTTCGGCCTCCCTCTCTTATTCTCTCCTGCGCTCTGTTGCCGTGTCTCCTTCGCGGTGTCTATGCGTTTCGGTCGATCCTGGCCTCGGGCGGCCGGAGTCGGGGCCGCCGCGGCAACCACGCGAGAATCGACTCGGATTCGCAGCCGATCATCCTCTCGATCCCCTAGGCGCGCGACGATTTTCGGTACGACGAGCTGGGCCGCGGCGGGATCGGAACCGGCCGGCCGGCCACCACGGCGGCGACGGGCGGCGGTGCTTGACCGGCCGCCGCGTTCTAAATTGATCCCGTGACTCCGTCTAAGTGGCGCGAATGATTCCAGTGTGACGTCAGACACGCCCGTGTCGAGCGGTCCGTCCCGCTGGTTCCTCGTGCCGGATTCGCGAATATCGCGGTCAGTCGCGCGCTCACGTTCCGAGAGAAATTCGGACGGGTGGTCGTCGCATCGATCGTCGCGGCGGGTGTTCGATCGGCCGAACGGTTCGGTGAAGTTTCGGACGCGCGCCAGCGACCGACGAGGGGGCTGGCTCTCGTTTTTCCGCCCACGCGGTACGGCCCGACTCGACCCGACTCGACGCGACTCGTTCCACGGGGCTCATCTGCCATCGTAACGCGGCGCGAAGCGGTACACACGGCGTGGTCTCGGGCTCGTTGCGGTCTCGAAACCGGTCCTGTCTCTTTTCGATCGATCCTTCGTCCCTTCGGGCGAGCCCATCGCGCCCTAGTCCCATCTCGCTTTCGTTCCGTCGCACAGCTCGTCTCCTCTTTCTCTCCGTCGCGTCTCTCGTCTGGTCTGGTCGGTCGAAAACCGAACGCGGGTAGAATAGCCGCGGAACGTGCGCGCAGCAGCCTTTTGAAACGGTCGACGAAACGGGGACAGAAACGAAAGGGAAACGATAACGCGTCCCGTTTTGTAGCGTCTGGAAGTGCAGAGCGGGCAGCGCGGTTCCGCTCCCGGCGGCAGGAACAACAGGTGTCCGCCGCCGCCTGGTGCTGTCGTCGCTGTCGCCGCATTGGAAATCGTTTTCCGGTTGACACGCAGGAAGCTCGCAACGCGGCTGCTGCTGCTTCCCACGAGGAGTACCGGATCGGCGAGACGAGAGACGGGAGGCGGTGACCAGACACGAGATCCGACGAGACGAGACACGAGGAGACGCGACGAGACGCGACGAGACGCGACGCGGCGAGGCAAAGCGAGAGGGGGTTGGGTCGGGTCGGGTCGGGTCGGTACGAGACGACGCGAGGCAAGCCGAGGCGCGGCGAGGCGAGGCGACGCGCGGGACCAGCCGAGAGACGAGATGAAACGAAAGGAGACGAGAATAGCGCGCTCCGGTTGTTGCGAAAGAGCGCCCATTCAGCAGCAGGAAAAAACGATCCACGCGTCGCGAGAGGACGCGGCGTTTCTCACTGAGAATTGCGCCGCGGATCTTCTCGGTGGCAATGGACGACGAGAGAGAAACAGAGAGAGAGAGAGAGAGAGAGAGAGAGAGAGAGATCGGTCAAGAAATTCGGGGGGGGGGCCGTCTAATAATTCTCGACGAAACGTGTTCGCACCTTTCTCGGCGGCGAACGCGGTCACTCTCATCGTCGACGTCGTCGGTGTTGTCTTGTTCTTCGGACGAAAGCTTGTCCCGCTGCTCGTTAATCAAACACACCAGAGCACGATATATATCCGTGGATCCTCTCTGTCCGCGGCCGCGGTCACCGGACGAACCACACCGGACGGTTTTTCTCAATGTATCCTCGATCGTAACGTTTCCACGATTACCACGCGACTCATCGATAATCGAGCGATGCCTACATCGCGTCGCGCGACCGACCGAGCGAGCCGTCGTCGCCGACGCCGCGATCCGAGAAAGATTCGCGCGCGCACCACGGTTATCGAGAGGATACTGCGCGTGAGCCGCGCTATACCGCCTCTTTCGCGAATCTCTCGCATTCTGCCGTTGTCGCGCGACCACAGCGCCCTGCCTCGCGAGCCTCGCGAATCTCGGCTATTTATAGAGGCCCGATGTGTATTGTTGCGTTCGCGCTCCCTCCGCTTCTATTTCTCTCTGTTTTTCGCTCTGCGGCGCGCGACCGCAACGTAATCGCGAGCCAACCTCTCTCCCTCCGCTGCCTCGTTCTCTCTCGCTCTCTCATTCTCGCCGTCTCTCTTTCTCTCTCTCTTCCTCTATCGTTCTTTCCTCCCCGCTTTCCGCCGCCCACGGCTTATAGTTT